AAAAAAAACAAGGAAAGAGTCAACAATATATCAGCTAGATTCTGAGTGATTCCTGTTTGAGCTATAAATAAAAACTTTTCCAGATCCATTTCTTTAAAATTTCCCAACTTGCAGATTTTGAATCAAAGTAGACACCTTTTACGTTCTTTATTATGGGAGAATACAAACGATTTGAAAACTCCATATAATATGAAGCCCCCTGCAACCCAAAATCGCGCCACTCGACGTACACCTCGCTATGCTGCTGCATACCCCTTTCATATCGCAAATTTTATTTCACCCTGTTTTTTTTTTGAAGCTTTTTTCGACTGCAACTTGCAAGGAAGTTGGCTATTTTGTAGATGTGGAAACATATTCTACTATATCGACTCGATGTATCGCTATAAGGAAGATCAAAATTTTTCCCAAGAAGCCCCTTACTCGCACCCGACATTCACATTTTCTATTCAGGGAGGCACGCGCTGTTCTCAATCTGCTAAAAAACGAACATGGCTCTAGAGAGAAGGCGCAGATTATCGTGTCCGAGTTTCCCGAAGAAGTAGGTTTGGGGGGAAGTTCCTGTCATTTTTGTCAGTGATCAACTTTGCATTGTTGTAAATAGGATTAAACCTGTGTTTCGCTTATCGCGAAGAGATACAGCTTTCGATATTACAGGTCATCGATGAACTGTTTCCAGCTCGTAACGCTATGGAGTTCAGCAGTCTCAACGCAGCTGATATGCGCTCTGTGAACTCGGATAAATATCTGGTATACATGTCACCCGCTTCTTTGGCATGAATAATCTGGTTGGTTCTAGATTCGACTTCATAAACGAGTGATATCAGCGATTCAATATCATCATAGAACCACTGCTCAGTGGAGGTAACTTATGACTAGTTTCCGTGTATCTCAGTTCATCATTTGTTGCTAAGAAATGTTTGTTGCTTTAGTTCCCTTATGAAACAAGCACTCTTCCTCGAGGACATCTCCCAAGCTGAGCTTTCCGGCCACCTTGAATCAACATCGTGCACCTTCTTCCCAGAAAGCGTACGCTACTTCTGGCTGGTCACAGCTCAAAGACCCCTATGTATGGTAAGTAGGACTGGGTTAGGTGATACATTGACATCGTATGGGCACTGTAAAAGAGTGTAAGACTTTCAACTTCTTTAGATACTTGCCATCTTGCTTACTGGCATGACCATCATGATTTTGATTAGTGAGTGCACTTTCTTCATAGTTAGCCCGACCTTGACACCTGCCGGGATAATCGTTGATTACGCTGCAAAGCGTTTCCATTACAAGTATACTCAGGCCTGTTTTTCAAATTTTCAAGTCATTGCATTCTATTCGTCCTTCAATACATAGATTTCAGATTGTTGCAGTTGCTATAATTTGCTACCTGTGTGCGTGTGCTTATTTCACCGTTTTCCGGCTAAAGATCTACCAGTACTATCATTTAGATCCAAATCGACATACTGATGGAAACAGCTTACTTTTCAGCGCTATGTGAGTAAACTAGATTTATCAATTCATTGCAGTAAGGAATTGTGCTTTTACGAATGGGCAGAAGGAAAACAGTGATGTTTATGTACTTTTCGCATTCTTCTTCAAATAATCAGAGTGCTAATCTCTACTCTTTTTTTACTGAGATTCATTAGTCTCGGTCTTTCACAAATATGAGAGACAGCTTTGGTTTCGCATCCAAAGAGTGTCTCATTTCCATTGATTCTTAAATCCGGAATTTCGTTAGGCTTTCCATGCAAGAACTACGTTCTTTGTGATTCCATATAATAATTTGTCTGATAAATAGACAAAATTCCGTTATCAGTATATTTGCTTGTGGCACTAAAATATTCTTTATTCATAATTCTCTGTATTTGCGATTTTTTACAGTAAGCATTGAATTAACATGTTGAGATTGTGTTGTTCTTTCTACCTTTATAATTTGGTATCAACATCCTATATGTGAATAGTACTGATGTTACCAAAATTTGAAAAAAAA